AGTTTTGGGGTGTATTATATGGGACAAAGGGTGTAAAGGCACACCCTTTTACACCCTTTTTCCTTGAGAGTGTAGTTTCGAGTGGCGAAAATTGTCATTTACATTGTCGGCAGTGTTTTTCAAGAAACGCAGCCGACAATACGGCGAGCAAGTGTGTCAAAAGGCGTCTTTGGCGCATGGGGACGCAGGAATGGGCACGCCAATCAGAGGAAAACAGAGCGAACACGTAGGAATGCGCGATGACGAGGCAGCCAAGCTCGTGTCCTCATTGGTTGAGGTCGGGGCTAAACTAAATCACGTGGGCGCATTTGGCGGGTAAACAAACGCGCGAGGTGCGCAAGCAGCAGACGAACTTGCACGGCCGTATAGTTGCCTAATATCTCCCAACGCACAGAAAAATGAAAGGTCGTTGAGGCATTGAGGAGGCATCGCATCCCGGTTGCCGTTCGCGTCCGTGTTCCCCCATTTACCCACTTCTGGGGTCGTCGATAGTCCAAGTTTTCCGGAGAGGGGGGAAGTAAGAACGGAAGAGGCGGAGAGAACTCGGTCGCTGAAGCGGCCGAAGCATGCTAGCCCATGAGGGCAGGTTTCGGCGCTGCCATCGCTCCAAAGACTCGTTCACACACTTGCGTTTGACGACGACCGACTTCGACACGACCGTCTTTTTCTTTTTTTTAAGCATCTTGTGATGACTTACGAAAGGCTGCGCTGCTGCGGAGAAGGCTGTAACTTGTAAGCCTCTCAGGTCCTCAGAAGTCGCAAGCGTGTGAACGGGCCTTAATGCAAATGCGCTAAGTAGTTTGTCAGAAGGCTGTTTTTTCAGGGCTCTGTAAGCTTTTTTGTCTGCCTCAGCGACAGTTGGAATTGGACCCGAAACGCGAGGAATTCGACACGAAACGCGAAGGTTTGACTCGGGTGCGTTATCAACAGGCTGGCTAACCTCGGTTTTAGCGCGAAAAGTTGGCGTTTCTTCGTGTTCCTAAGCTCCCGAAGACAAGCACTTCTTGCAATTAAATCCCCCCCCCCCCCCCCGCCACCACGAAGGGACTTTCGCTCATTACAGGAGGTGTTGCCATTACCCATTGCACACTACATTCTCACCAAAAAGAGGCAACAAAATGCAACACTCGCTCCAAAGCTCGTGTGGTGCTCCTGTGCTTTGTGCCGTAGTTCAAGAAGCGCTGCTAAAAACCAACGCAAAGATGACCTCTTTGCGTTGCATTGCGCCCCAGAATTCAGAATATACAAGTCTTCCAAGATTCGAAGAAGGTTTAAGACTTAGCAATTCCCCCAACTTTTTGACATAAAAGAACACTAAAAACACGAAGACTGCCATCAAAACCAAGCTTAGAGAGTACAAAGCTTTATTGTAGAAATGGCACATCCGTAGTAGAGAACCCAACAAGAAACAATAAAAAATACTAAGGCACCGAGTAGCTGAACCTTCAGACGATAACGCCAAAAAAAAAAAAGGCTGATAAAAAGTAGCTTGAAAAAGTAATTCAATACTTTTTACGCTAGTCATTAGTTACTCAATTACTTCCCAAATGTGCAATTTCTACTAAACTCAAATTAATTTTGAGGCCGAAATTCACTCAGTAACTACTAAACTAGTCTTTTTAATTATACCTTGTGGATGTCTGGCTCGCAGCAACCTGTGACGTCGGGCAGAGCTTCTGGTGGATGTTCTAAAAGGCACGGAGAATGTCATGAAAAGTAACTTGAAAATTCCACCCTCTTGTGTTTTCTAAGCCAAAATGTTTGATATCCAAGGATTACGACAACAAAAATTACTTTTGTTTGGCTAGAGTTTTTATTTAACCATTACTCCTTGTCTGTAGTGCGCCCTACAGTCTAATAACTCTATTTGCGTAATTTCAACTTTGCCCTTTACCCGGTGTTTGGGATCAAATTCCCTTTCCATGTTCTGTCGATGACCTGCGGCAGCAGCCGAGGCACTGTCCATTCTGCTCTACACATATGACAAACAAATGCACGAAGCATTTCGATCTTCACTAAATTTAGCGGGGAAATTTGTCCTCCACATTTATCAGGCATTTTTTCGCTAAACATCCCGGTGTTACGTCACACTGTGACGTCATGATACACCATGACGTCACGTGAAAGTGTGAAGTCAGGCGACCTGATTACGGGACATCACGTCATGCGATACCGTGAGGTCACGTGCAACGGCAACCCTACATGAAACACGTCCGGCGTTGGGGATCCGGTCCGAATCCTAAGAAACATGGCGCTCGGGAATAAGAGCCGTCCCTGTAAACGTTTAGCGTTTCCTTCACCGCACAAGTTGCGTAAAGCACGAAACACATGTACGACGAAACCGTCCGATCCGACGTCCGATCAGGCAATACAACGGTCGGACGCGACTTGTTTGGTCGTGTCGCAACGTCGGAACGGCGTTGCGGCACGCGATGATGCGACCGACTGTGCAGAGGTGGTTCCGTGATCGGAAGGCTGCATGGGCGCGTTCAGTAGCGGCTCCAGGAGTCAAGGAGTCACTGCTCGTTCCGTTAGACGGCAAAAACCGACTTCCGGTGCACGTTACTCCGAGTTTTCGGAGTCAGGCTCTTGTGCACCGTCTCCTGTGCATGAAGAGTGAACGGAGCGCAGCATGACGTAATTCCGGATCGCTGACGAAGTTCCGGCGCTAAAAGAGAGACAAAAAATGGCGGAATAAGTTGCGTCGGTTGCGTCGGTTCTGTCGCGGGTGTGCGGTTTGCTCGCTTTTGTTAATGAAAAGTGCTCAAGGTAGGACGAATCACATTTCTTTTCCAGGTAAGGCTCTTTTCGGAAAATGCATTGGATCGTATTTGATTTGGTTTGAATACGCTAATAAACAACGTAAACGTTCACTTGACGACTTGTCTTGGTCGCCGTTGCACGGAAACTCGGTGAATGTCGACAATAGTCCTGTCCGCGCCGAGCAGAGCAAGGCAGGGTATGAACGTGACTTTGGTACTTTGGTAGCCGGTTGGACACTTACGCAGAGCGTGATCCAGAATAATGTTTTGTTTGCGTAGCTAAATCGGGGTGTACGTTGGCCGACGCTCGCGTCGGCCGACAAAACCTTGATCGCCGAGCGCGGCTCAACTTCCCGTGTGCATACGAATACTATAGAGTGCCTTCATGTGCGCTTTTGTAGGAAGTTCGTTACGAAGGGCAGAACAAACGTATGGCCGTATAAAGGTATCGCAACCGGCGGCGGTGTTTCGCCGAGCTCTTTATTTTGCGTGTGCTGACGACGTTTTTGTCGGTTTTATTTATTTATTTATTTTTATCAGAAGCAGCCTTTGCACCGCCGAAGGGCTCGATCGCATTGGATCGCTTCGAACAGCAGCGCTGATGTGTACAGTCACTCGCTTTTTTTAATCACCTTGTCAAGACTTCTATACCGGCGTCAAATAAAAGCGATCGTACTCGTCATCGTCTGCTTCCATTTTATTCGGAGACCGTCTGGCACAGGAAAGGAAGCGGAAATTGCGTAAAAGCAGCTGAGAAGCCGTGTTTTTCTTTTTATTGTCGTTCAGTAGGCGCTCCGAGGACTCCCACTCGAGTTAAGCGCGAAACACATGTACGACGAAACCGTCCGATCCGACGTCCGACCGCGCAATACGACGGTCGGAGGCGAAGGTTTTCAACGCTCTCCGATGCTACGAAAACCCTCTCCCCCAAGGACATTCCGGCAGTCCGCACGTCGGATCGGACGGTTTCGTCGTACATGTGTTTCGCGCTTTACTCCGTTCGGAGCTGAGATAGCCGCTACTGAACGCGCCCAATGACCACGCAGGTGGCGGGAACGTCATGAGGACGTCACGTTTTGGGGGCTATTCAGGAGCAAGGGTCCAGTTGCGAGTCCCTCTTCCTTTCCTTCGCATTTCCGGCGAGAGGAGGAGAGCCCGCGCACGGCTTTATTCTGCGCTCAAAATGGGAGGGGGAACGCGTGGGGGGCCCGTACCTTCCACTGCATTGCCAAGAAAAGTTGAAGTCAGGCAACACGCACTGGTCACGGAACTGGACGGAGCCGATCGGCACCGTCGGAACGACGCGTGGCAAGCTCGGTCGGAAGCATGTGTCTCGATTAATTGTTTGCGGCGAGTCAGAGCAGCGCTTGGACGTCGGATTGGACGTCGAATCGGACGGTCTCGTCGTGCATGCGATTCGCGCTTAATACCGAAAGCTACATGTCTCCGCCTAAATGTAGCGGTTCGGACCGGATGCTCAAGTTTCGAAGCCTTTCCTTCTCTAATTCGAAAGTTATAAGCTATTTTAAGAAACTTGCAATGAAAGAATGACGGCCCACAAAGTCCGCTAATACGTGGACATGAATGGCGCCGGCCGACCACATTTTCATATTTGAAGATGTCGAAAATTGGTTGTCACTTTTATATCCGATAACGACAAGCTTTAAAAAAGTTTTGGCATCTCGTCTAGACCATTAGCGTTACGTTTGAGCCGGGTCTGAGCGTTCGACGAAACATATATATTTAGGCAGGGGTTCTCAAGTATCGATATTTCGCGAACCCCTTGTGTATCAGCGGAGATGAAGGAGGACCCCGTTCGTGGTGGCGGGAAGTGAAATGTATCGGTTATATATGATAATGACTTATTAAATAGATATATCTAAGGGCTGTGTGAGGTAGACTTCTCTCATTTAAATACACTCGAGCAACCACATCCGAAAATTGGAACGTTTCTTCTCAATTTGAAGAAAAGACAACTTTTATTGCCGGGCTTGACTGACGAGGCAGGGCTTCGCGGACCCAGGATGCCTTGCGCACCCTTTGGTGTTCGCAGACCCCATTTGAGAACCACTGCTATAGTGTATTATCGAGATAAAAAGGGGGTAAAAAAACAGACGAAAACATTGTAATATTTTTTTGTTCCTCAGACACCCGGTAGAAGCATCGTATACTGGACGAACAAGGATCCCACTTACATTTCGTGAGTCTAAATGTGAGCCACTGCTATTTTATCTTCAGATTACAATCCGGAGGATGACCTATGCATGCAGTTGACGACGAAGGTAAATCAGGATGTGAGTTGTGATTTTTATTTTCATTTAACTACCGCACTGTTTATGAAGAAAACCTGAGGGTTGCCTTTTTTGCGGAGCACGCAGATTTCCAATCACCGCAATGGACAGCATGACTCCAGCTGCTTACAGGACAGAGATAACGTCTACGTGCAAAGATACCATCTGTGAAGATTGAATTTGCATGGACAACCGTGTTCTCCATCTGGTTATTCGCTATGTTATTTATGCGCAACGCAATGATTGGCTGTATATGTGTTTTGTGGGAAAGTAGGCGCAAGAGCCTTGTTCATAAATAGTGCGGCTATTACTCGAGTAAATACGGTAGTGGCCACCGAGAACGCATTTGCCCTTCCGGCAGCGCCCCAAAGACCAACCAACTACATTAGGGGGGAACAAATGTGTTGCTAAGAGCTACTCCCTTGGAACGCGGGCTCAAATTATGACTGAATTTACTTCTTGTTGAAAATTTAAAATATTATAACTTATTTCGTGAAAATAAATTAAACTAGAGTGGCACATGTAGATAGCACATGAATAGGTCTACAGGCATATGGTACTTAATAGGCAATATGTATAATGAATCCTAATATACAAGCGGCTCCAAATATGTCACCAAACGTCAAAGAAGCGATGTTTGGCTTTTTTTTTAGCATGAAATATAACAAAGCAGTTGTTTAAATAGAAAAAAAAAGCCATGCGTCTTGTTTGCATTTTTACCTATTTATAACAACCGACAGAACGGAGTACAAAAATCAAGCAGTCTAAAGGTTGCGTTTTTTTTTTTTTGCTCTACTTCAAAATTGTTGTGGAGTGCTTCGTCTCACCAGCGCCGAAGCCAACTGGTGAGAAAAAACACAATCTTCGGCGCCCCACTAGATGACGCTGTGCATTTCGCATATGCGCATATGGTCTATTCAAGGAGTGTCTTTTCACGTGACGGACGAAGGACATATATTCCGGCATTAGCCTCCTCTATGCTCACAAAGCCTGGCAGTTGGACGACGGAGCCATAGAGTGCCCGGTCGCAGATTTGGAGCACGAGGATCTGGCAGCACAGAGCATCAAAGAGCCATTTCTCGAGGAACCTGGACGTCAGCGCACAACTTTTCCAGCGGCGAGGACCCGAAACACACTCGTTCGCTCGGGCGAAGAGTGTTTCGGCGTCTCGCCGCAGCGGGGCGCCAGTCACGTGGCTCTTCTCTCATCCGTTGTCTGCCGCTCCACCTTTCCCATTTGGGCGGCCGCTTCTCGTGGTGATCTGCCAGGCTTTGCCAGTATACAGGAGGCTATGGTCCCGGTGACTCGCGTTCAATTCATAACGTAACGTAAGAAAACGTAAGCAAACGCGCCTGTGTGAACTAGAGTAAGGCATGAACTAACATTTTAGACAAAACCCCGAGACTGGGGGGAAAGAAGGACAACACAACACGAAGTCAACTTTGTGTTGTGCTGTCCTTCTTTCCCCCCAGTCTCGGGGTTTTGTCTAAAATGTTAAACCTTCACCAGCTTGTTTGCGCTCTAACTTTCTGTGCATGAGCTAACCTTTACAGACTTTCGCAAACCTTCTTTTCTCTCTCTCCCCTTAACCCAAATGCGGTTCAGCTACTGAAAAAGGACAGATTCGTAAGAATTGTTTTATGAGCATTTTAAGCGACACAAATAAAAGAGAAACATAGAAGATGATCACAGAGGGCCTCAGTCGTGATTTAGGAAGTTTATAAATTTCCCACTCTAAAAAAAAAAAAGAATCCAATGGAAAAAAAGACGAAAATATTGGCCAATCTTTCTTATTATTAGTAGAAACTATTACCTTCGGCCGCCGTTTGTTTTTCTCTTCCCGCATTTACATCTGCTGTATTGATATTCGATGTTTCGGAGCTGTTAGCGGATGACGACAGCAAAGTGACCAAACTAACTTTGTGCCGTTTTGTTCTCGACAGTTTTTTCCGGTCAGTCGTTGCCAGGTATATTGCCGAGGCTGGGGAGTTCGTCCTTTGAATGACGGAAGACAGTGCGTGGTAAGTATGTTTAATATATACACTAGGGTTCCTTGTTTTCTGAGTTCATTTTTCGCAAAATTCGTTTTTTTTTTTTCGAAGTTTATTTTTTGCCGAAAATTCGGAGTTTATCATAGTTTAATCTCGCATCGTTTTTTATTAAATATAAATAAATAATATCCGGGTGTAAATGTATGTTGGACAAAAAAATAAAATGCGATTGTATCAATTAATATTTTCTTCAGTTGTATTTGCCGTTGGTGCCGTTACTACTGGCAATACTAATTTGTCCTGCGACAAAAGTTGCACACAAGTGTTGCTTCGATAAATGTCGATACCTTAAAATCAATAAACTCCTGGTCCTGGAGGTAGTCGCTGGGAAGCTTGTATTCCTTCCATACTATTCCATCGGCCTACCGCGCGACCGCGCGAGGTGGAGTGGTAAAGGATGCAATAGAGAAGTTTCAACTGTCCCTCTTCCCCACTTTATGCAATCTTTATGCAAGGGAATGACATGAAGGTGTCATTCTCTTTCCCAGTTGGAAGTGAAACGGGGGCTTCGACGCAGGAATCTCCGAAATCCACCCGAAGCCGGACCTCTTTGGCCTTCCAGCCGAGGCGACGGCGGTAGCGAGGTCAACGAGCCGCGGGAAAAAACCAGTAGCAGGTGGCGTGTGACGTCAAATCTGACGAGCACCGACGTCAAAGAAAAGTGGAGGACAGCGGCATTTTTTGACTAAGGAATTTATGACTTGGCACTTAAAAACACACAAAAAATTAAAATTTAATTTTTTTTTAAGTTTTAGGAAGTAAAGTAACGGTAACGTAATTTCGTTACACGTCACTCAAAATAAGTAACGTAAGTACGTTACCCGTTACTTCTTTGGAAAAGTAACGAGTACGTTACTACGTTACCAAAAACAGTAGCGCGTTACCGGTAACGCAGTTACTTGTAACGCGTTACCGCCAACACTGGCTAGAACCCGCGTTTGGTCACTGAGAACGCAATGGTCGTTATCACACCGGGAAATAAAAGGAAGTTTTGCGCATCATTCATGCGCTGCGCGAAGTAGTTCTTACGAGATTTGGTCGTTAAAGAAAGGAACTTTGCTTTTAGCGTTTGATGCTTGTATATGTCTCGATGAAATAACGTAAAAGCTAATCTAAGACGCACCTACATATATTTTAATTCAACCACGAAGGGGAAAGTTAGTAACGTTCCGCAAAAGGCTGGACTTTTTTTCTTATTATACGATTTTTGATAAGGTTACTGGAAGTAGAGAAGGACTTTCGCAGCCTTCTAACTTGCTGCTTCCTCAAACCTCCTGATAATGCTTCCAGCCCTCGATTTATTTTCTTTACATGTGGAACCGAAACCAAGATATATGTATGCTTTGTTATAGTTACGAACGAAGGAGATAAGGTCTGTGTTCGGCAAGAAGAAACGGGTTGTCACGAAGACCGGCGTCTGCAGACTCGGTGTTTGCGTGGAAGCCAGTAAGTATAAAATGAGCCAATTTTCAGCCGCACCCTGTTGGTCATCATGCAATAGTCTAACGTCAGTTAGTCAAGATCAGGGTGTAAGATAGACAGTTGGGGAAACGGCCATAGAAGCGTACCGCAGCGCCTTGACCGGATTGTGTACTCGTCTGCTTGCGGGTACCTCCGATTTGCGACCGATGGCGCTGCGGCGAGAAGAAAAAAATCGGAATCGGATTTGCATGGAACTCTATGGGAGAGTGCGCAAAATAAACCGAGAGCACGACAGTCCTCTATTGAAAATCCACGAGAAACCATCTACGTCAGTTTAGCCGGTCGCCACCGGTCGCCCAACCGGAGTGAGGGTTCGCGGTGCTCCACATAGATGGCGCCACAAAAAAAGAGAAAACCGAGGGGGACACAATCTGGTCGCTCATTTGGCTCTTGTTTTCCCACCTGTCTATCTTACACCCTGGTCAACATGCAGATAGCGCAAATACGCAGCCAGATAACCTGGATCCTAGTATCGTTGAAGTCATCGAGTCGGACTTCTAGCTTCACCAAAACGCTCATTTAACAGTCTGTTACAACGGACGAACTACAGAAGAGGCTGCGCACGCACTCAGTCAGCTCACTGTGCGCTCATTTCCCAATGCGCAGAGGCGATTGAGGCATCAGGCAATACTTTGTTTTTTGTCGGCGCCAAGCTCACAAAAACTCAGAGACGGCCCCTGGCCGCAATCATCGAATCTGATCTCGGGCTCGAAGGTCCGAGTGCCGTGCAAAACTGTGACGCTGTGCTCGTGCCTCGTTCGGTGGCGTGGCCTGCCCAAAAGTTGCCCTTTTTTGCCACCAGCCCCACTAACTAGCAGCCGACCGAGGCGCCTCCTATCCACTGTCCTGGGGCTATAATAACGCCATTTCTCCTCTCCCTGGGAATGCGGGGAGGGAGTCTTTCACGTAGCCCTCACGCTTTGCTAGCCGGGGGCAATTTTCTTTTTGGTCATCTCTTGAACCCGCCATATCGCTGTCTTTGATAGCTCATGCCCACTCAAACGTTCACCGAAGGTGCCGAGGCGCTGCTCAGTTGTGTTCAGAAGTGTCCAGCAGTGTTCAGAAGTTTCCAGCAGTGTTCAGAAGTTTCCAGCAGTGTTCGGAAATTATATCTTGCTGAGTCGAACTTGTCAGCCTTCTAATACGTATTATTAGGAATGAAAATAAAGAAAAAAAACTTTTAGGCAGTGATGGAGAGGAAAAAGCTGAGAGCTCTGCATCATAATAACTGCAACCTAAAGTAAATTAAATCCTTTAAATATTGACTCTAACAATAAGAATTTGTGTTAAACGGAACTCAGTTCAACGTGACGCAGTGATATGAAATCCATAAGTTGTCACTTTGGAGAGCGAGCAACAATACGCGATACATAGCTGAATGAAGATACGGACGTCCCTAACCCTCTAGGTCGATGTTCAAACGATGCTTACCAGTGATCTCAATACCCGAATGTTGGGACAAGATATGCACCGCAAATGTTTCAGATATGACACCCTGGAGGCATCCTAAAGGCTGCAAAGACAGGAACGTGAAGCACGGCGGGAAGGTGAGAACTTCCGTTAATCGTAGTCTACAAGGAACAGCGAAAGAATGATATCTAGATGCTTCTCATTCGACTAATCTTTCTAGTGCAATCGACATGTTCCCAATTTCTTCTAAGCCTTATCGGAAAGGAGATCCAACCATCGAACCACTGGGAGTAAAATTGAGAACTACACCCATAAGGACACGAATTATTTGTTTGTGTTTCTGACGCAACGTTCGGCTGACGTGCACCGAACGTTGCGTCCGCGTTTGGATAAGCGAAGCAACCTAACGAAGCACGTCTCCCAGCCGGACGCTGGAACGGCCACTCATGGCCCGCCTTTGCCCTGCACCCGATCGACGAAGCAAATAGTCCAGAGGCATTGTGCAGTCTTGCGCACGTTAAAGGCTGGTTCACACAGCCCAGTTTAGTAAAGCCACGAAAGCTTACACCACAACTCACCGGGTCATCAATGCCTCATCATTAGAGGGGCACTAAAGCGCTTCTTGATCTCCTCGTTTTGTTATCATGACTCAATCTACGAGCTCTAAATATAATTAAAAAAAAACGAAATTACATTTATGCGCGGCCGATTTGCGTATTAAAAAAGTGATCAAAGATCCCAACACTTACCCTTGGCGCAGAACGGCAGATGGCGCTACCGAACCTTGCTGAATATGGTCGAACGACGGACGGTGCTTTTCAGCCTATTCGAGCATCTTCAACAATAAGGCGTTGTATATCCTGACTTATCCAAATACCGTCATCGTTTGATCTAGAGTTCCTGTATAGGTTCCCTACGGGAGCCAGAGTTGCGCGTCCGTTTTCCACGTGCCGTCGCGCCGCTATTCGCCGAGATCCGATCACGTGAGGAGCCGGATCAAGTCCCTTGCAGCAAAGTAGACGCTGCATGCGCCCCGGCGCATGTTCCCCTGCTTTTGAGCGCACCGCTCGCCTCGAACGCGCGGCGCCGCTATTCGTCGAATTCAGTCACGTGAAGAGCGGGATCAACATGGCCGTGCAGGAAAGACGGTGCTACGGAGATAACGCGCAACTCTGGCTCCCGTAAGGAGCCTATACAGGAACTCTAGTTTGATCGTGCATGCCGCGGGAGCTCCTATCGGATGCTGGTCAGGCGTCGCCATTTCTGGCTCATGGTGCATCCCACATCCAGACGCCTACACTCCTACTGGTCTGCTTTGGCTGCCGGTAATGTGCCGCCGTTTGCAACCACGCTCACATCGGTCTACTGCATGGTCTACTGTACATGCCAGCGACAAACTTGATTGGCGGCGACGCTTCGCCATTTTTGGCTCAAGTGCGTCCCAGCATGCACCAGCTTGGCGGTACTTGTTTATGAAGTTCATCCAGCGCTTTATTCAGTAAAAGAGTGCCTTCATATTCAGTAAGGTTTGGTAGCGCCATCTGTCGTTCATGCGCCCACGGTAATCGTTGGGATCGTTGAGAAATCTTTCTTTATATATACATATTGTGAGGAAGATAAAGGAGAAGTGTCGGCACGGGCGCGGGGCACGCGCCTGGTCGACCGAGGGAGATTCGGATCACACTCAACCGGCGGAACAGTTCCCTTTTGGCCATTCATTGCCATTGTAGTAATCTCATTAAACACCCTCACAATATCCCTTTTGACCATTCATTGCCATTGTAGTAATCTCATTAAACACCCTCACAATATATATATTGTGAGGGTGTTTAATGAGATTACTACAATGGCAATGAATGGCCAAAAGGGAACTGTTCCGCCGGTTGAGTGTGATCCGAATCTCCCTCGGTCGACCAGGCGCGTGCCCCGCGCCCGTGCCGACACTTCTCCTTTATCTTCCTCACAATATGTATATATATGCAAATCGGCCGCTCACAAATGTAATTTCGTTGTTTTTTTTTGTTTTTTTTAAGGATGTTTAGAGTTTGTATATTGAGTCTGACCATAAATCGAGGATCTCAAAAAGCACTTTTGGCTACCAGTTCAAGGAGATAGCCTGGCTCACGACATTTCAGACACGAATGTTTCCTTGAATTGTGCGTAACGTGAAGGTTGGTTCCTACAATTGTGTTGGTTGCGTTCGCAGCAACCGAAACGACAGCAGCGCAAAGGCTCTGGGATAAGTGTCCTCTGTGCACAACGTGGCAAGTGATGTGAAAATTGGTTTCGCGATGTAATCATGAGTCACGGTTGTTCCGGGGTTCTGGTCATTTCTGTTCTTTTGGTTGCATGTGAACGCAACCGTTGAAATGTGTGAATAGACCGATCTCACTAAGCGTTCGGCGCATGCGTGACGCTGCCATAACTTTAGTTCACAGGAGGTAGATGACCGTGCATGCGAGGGCTCGTGCACGCCATCTTGTGCTTAACGCACGCAGAGCTCCAGTGGGGTTGTCGCACGTGCGGAAAGACTAAAGTTCCCTCGATGCATTGCAGTAGCGGTGGAGTGGTGAAACTGGCTGGTGAAATCGGTGGTTGGGTAAACCAGCTTAAAGGCCGGTTCACACAGCACCATATTTTTTTTTATCGTTTTCTTAGGTTACGTTTACGTCATCCAAACATTCGTGCCTTGAATGTCGCGTGCCAGGCTATCTCCAGGAACGGGCACGGATGTCCCGGTGACTTGTGTCGTAAGGAAACTCAAGCTTTCGTAACGTAACGCAAGAAAACGGAGCTGTGTGAACCAGCCTTGACTAAAAAAAGTGATCGACTACAATTACAATTACTCTCGATTAAATAGCATTCAATTAGATTGCTTGATTGCTTGTGAATTAAAAAAAGTAACTCACTTTTTTATTACTTGAGGTATAGGGGATATTCACTCGACGACATAGTTGAGTGCGCTGCTCAAAGCGCATGCTCAGAACGAACTCGCATTAAATAGGCTACTACGACCTCCAATCTTGACGGTGTGGAAAGCACGTTGCAAACGAACCGTTTAAGCTCGCCGTCAACACGGGCTCGGCAGTCGCGCACACAGCTATGGCCGCCAGTGAATTATTAGCGGCGAGATGTTTACGTGGCGCCCTCGTACGGTTACCTGTCGTGACGTCATTACCGGTAAGAACAAGGGTATTTGTAATGAGCATGATGGAAGCTTGAAATCATTGAGCTCTCCAAAGCAACACTGCCAACACCGTCAGAGTTAAAGTTCTTACATTCCCCTTATTTCCGTCGATGAGAAATCCTTTGCTCACGTCATAACCAGAATTCAGCCAATCGTAGCAGGCCGACCACAGCGACTCTTTCGACTGCGCACGTCGCTAATACGAAACGACAGATTTCTCTGGCGGTTTGAAAACGGGCCTTTCATATTGTCCATTATTGGATTAGAATAACCAGATTACAGGCTGGTATACTTACTTTCCAATCGATCGATTTTGGTAGACCATCCTTCTGTACGAAGACATATGGTTCGAGGATTCCGTGGTATGAAACCTGTAGAAACGAAGTACGCCATTTAAAAGGGTAGGGGAAAATGGTAATGGTTACAAGTCATTTTAGTACTTCCAAAGCAATACAAATAATCAAATCGTTACAAAATCACTAAAAATGTAATTGATTCCGAGTAATTTGATTACTTGTAATGAGTACCGTACAAGTCTCTAATGATTAGGGAGTTTTAGGGAACCGTTTTTGCGCATCCGAGACGGCACGATGGGCTCTCCGGTACGAACTGCGCGTGTGCGCATATCTTCTGCTGTAGCACATGCGCAGTTCGTACCGGAGGGCCCACCACAACGTATCGGATGTGCAAAAACGGTTCCCTAAAACTCCCTAGTACCGTACAAGTACAGTACAAGTAAACACCGAGCTGTAGGAAAAGCAAGCTGGACAATGATCCCCCTTATACGTAGTAATCAGTGGACGCCACATTTGTGGGTGCTGTTTAGGGCGCATGCTCAGAACGAACTCACATCAATAGACTGCTAGGACCGGCACTTTCGATGGTGCGGAATGCACGTTGCAAAAAAACTGTGGAAGTTCGCCATCAGCACGCGCTCAGCATTCGCGCACACAGCTATGGCCGCTAGTGAATACTCCCTATATATAATGGGCCTTATCGTTTATCCTTTACCAACTTACAACGATACAGGGTACAACCGTGGGCTCTCTAGGGCTCTCTCTGCTTGAGCCGCCTGGTTGTTGCCGGCTGGCAAATTAAAAAAAAACAAAAAAAAAAAAAACAAAAAAAAAACGGGGTATGACTTTTAACGAATAACATCCCTATATACCTTTCATGTTTGTGTTCTGCCGGGAATAAGCTACATACAGACTTCAAAATAAGGACGGAAAATACGATAGATTAAAAAAAATAGTTTAGCATAGTTTCCCGTTAATATCTGTTTTATTTTTAATAAAATCAAACATACGTCTTTCGTCTGCAGAAAACCAAAACGCCGACCAGTGCACAAATATTGACTGCGTGTCTTCTTTCCGGAAGTGCACGCACAGAGAACCAATATCTGATAGATACGGGGAATGATCCGTGAATCACGAGAGAGATTGCATTTCCACGAAGCCCACACTCAGAGGAGTGACGCAGTACAACGCGTCACTCCTGCGAGTTAATTGTGTCTTTTCCAGTTAAACTAGTAACTGGTTAAACTAGCAATTGGTTTATAAAAGAAACCGAAAGGGTAGGTCCCCGTAAAACAAAATGTCTTGAGTTTGTCTGGGCAAATTTTTTGATGTCATCTATTTTCCAGGGAAATGTGTGGAACAAAATAGGTGATAAAAATTGAAAGACAAGCGAAAGATTACACCTGCTCGAATTGTGATCATGCTAAATTTTATTCACGGTGTGCGTTCTTTTTTCCGCTAGTTCCTACCGTTTGATACCTATGGTTCAGCATCCTGTTTGTCATGGAGACATCAGCGACCTTTGGGAACGGAAGCCAGTAACTGCGTGCTTCTTTCACAGATTCTTGCCGAGAACTGCACCAGCTTCTGCGATAATGGAGTCAAAGAAGAACGTGAGGAAGGAACTATTTGCGTGGTATTCCCATTCTTGACAGTAATTCAATTTGCGCATACACAGTGGCGGATGAATAGATGCAGTGTCTTTGGATTTTGCCATTTAATTTGACCGCGTGTCTCATCCCGATACATTTAATAAAATTCTGTGTATCCTTAAAAAATACTTAAATAAAAAAAAAAGTTTTTTTTTAGAGCCTACATGGGACAGGTACTTTTTAAAATTTTCTACGAAAAGTACTTATTTTTTCGCGCAATATTTACGCTGTTAGACGCAATTTAGGTGGAGATTACGGCCCGCTGTAATCGCCGCCCACAGATCAGTGGCCCCGCCCATTACTACTGGATTGGCTTGGCTGCTCGTCCGAACACGCTCGCAAGCCTATAGTGTCTCCCTGTCTCGACGTCCGGTGCATCTATAGTCTGGTGCCTGACAGCGCCTGCTAGTCGTGCGGGCAGACGCGTGGCAGCTTCCGGCATCGTCTGCTATTCCACCACCGTTTGTCATCGTCTGCAACGCCCGCAAGACGCGGCCGGCCATGGAAGCGGCGCGTCGGCGTCCGCCATAGCCCGGGTCCGTCTGCTATTGCGCCCCCGTCTCAAGACGTCTGCAACGCTCGCAGGACTCGACCATGAAAGCGCGTTTTAGCGTTCCATCTCACACAAGCCACTGTTAAATACAAGCGTCTGCTAACGTCTGTCGGTATGCGCTAGAAAGCGACCGAGAGGACTAAAAAAAGTCCTCTCGGTCGCTTTTTCAGAAAGATGAAAAGAGTGTCTTTCCAGCTTTTTTGTTCTTGTTATTTTTTTTCTATGGCATCCGCGAGCAAGGTGGGGGAGCGTCATGACGTACAATTAAAACGAGACCTAAAAATATTCGCTTTGGCGGGCCATGCGCGCTGCAAAACTTGAGAGCTACATGCCTTTTGAAGCGACGCGCGTCACTACTGCGTGATGCACGTAAAAGAACCCAGGCTATCGGTTGTACTGCCCTGGCTAAATTCCTCATCCACAGCTGAGATACAAGACGCCTACTTATTCTGAGCTTCTGGCTGTATAAACAAACACACAGAATTATTATTAAGCAAAATGACGGGAACATACCTAAACAAACTTGATCCGAGGCGAACGCCCGCGATTGCCTCCAGCCAAAAGGCTCGCAAATTGGTACCTGTATAGGTAAGAGCTGCGGGGACACTTTACGGGAACCGACATCTGTATTCTGCATCAACACGCGGAAACGAACAAATCAAGCCGGATCAATCAAAATAGTTGATGTGGGACGCTAGGCTTAATTAGGCCTGACACGAAAACAAGCAGCCTCACAGCGCTTCCCAAAGCGCGTAGTTGACACAGTTATTTTCTGCAAGCTATAGGTTGGTCGAGGAGATCTTCCTCTAAACACGTCGGTGAACGCAAAACGACTCGCACTCATAAAAGTAGACGAGCTCAACAAGGTACGCTCGTTGAGCGCGCCGTCACGCCGGCAGCCATGTTTGTTATCGTTCGTAACCAAAGCGGAAAAGGCAACCTCGGAATAGTTTTGAAAACAATAATGACTTTATCTAGATTATTTATTTATGAAACGTAGAAAAAAATATTGTCGATAAAAATCCTATGACGGCACGGAAAAACAATTTTGCAACGAACATTTCCCACGTCAAATATCGCTCTAAACAATGGGAGCCGAGAAACGGTGCTTAGCCCAAATTCGTCTTTCGTTACGCGGGCGGGGCCTAGACCACGCCTACCTCCACCTAAATTGCGTCAAACAGCGTAAACATTGCTCTTTTTGTTTTGTAAAAAAAAAAAAAAAAAAAAAGATTACATGAAATTATGTGTCCCATCTAGACCCCATAAAAAAACTTTTTAGTGTAAAGTGTTAAGCGGAAGGTGTTAAAGTGTTAACAATCATCAGAATTTATTTCTGTCATTTCTAGAAGCATATATACGATTGGTAGAAAACAGTTTGTGCGTTGAACAATGCAATATCAAATACCTTTATCAGACATATCAGGAGTGCATAAAAAGATCTTCTCTTAGACGGAGACAAAATCAATCATTTTACCGTTGATACAATTATCTGTTTAGATATACGGGCATACAACAATAATGAAAAATAAATAAAACATACATGAATTCTAAAGCTATGTCGTTTAACGATAAATAGAAACAACCAAAGGCAAGACTATATATAGGATGTTTTTTCTAGCCTTTAAATATTTTTTTAAAGCCGTAAAACCCACAGAAAGTAAACCAGATTTATTTGAATTTAATCGGATCTATTTCGTATAAATGAGATTTATTTCATTTTAATAAGATTAATATGATTTTGAATCATTGTAGGTAGGAAATAATTAGTCTTTCTTTACTAGATCTATATTTAAACATTACAAATTGATTGATCAATTTGTCCGATCATTAAAAAATACGGAAAAAATAGTCACTCTAAATTTAAAGCACAGTCTAATTAACAACCTCTTATTTTTGATATGCTAGAACAAAAGCTTTATTCACTTTTTTTCGCGTTATGATTAGCTTGCAATAGCACATTACGTAGCTGACAGATCAGTGGAATATAAGAAAGAAAAAAAAAGATAAACGTTGTCACTTGCTCAGAAAAGCAGCGCCTGTTGCTCGTGTTCTTCAGGTATAGATATATCTGGCTTGATAATTTTTTATTTAATATTTATATACAGAACAAATGCCCACAAAAAGCGTAAAATGATAAACGAAAAGTTTCAGAATCATTCTTGTGGGAATTGTTTGATATAAATCATCACATGCACATTTAAATCACAATTTAAATTATCTCGATTTTCATTCTCCACCCTGGACATAATATAGGGGGGGGGGGGGGGGGTTAATTGTCACGATAAGGGAAATGAAATAACTAAAATTTGATAATTAAATTTTTATTTGGTAAAAATCACCAGATTGCTACAATTAGGAGTTTGCTGAGCGTCATCAAAATCTGCTATATGTCAATCAATTTTAGAATGATGAGCGGATGATAAGCGTGCGATGGTGTTATCATCCGCGTTTTCTCCCTCCAGCCTTGTGCCTGTTGCATGAGTGGCAACTTCAGCGCTCCACCACGCTACGTTCGTGCTCCAAACCTGCCTATAATTTACTGCTTTAGTGATTTCTAAGGATACTGAGCAAGTTTCCGATTGGAACCATATGTATATTGTCACTAATTAAAAAGCTATTAAACAAATTCTTTACTCCGTTCACCTTAAGCTGCGACTAGAAGCTCCGCCTTCAGCGCGAGCTTTCTGCCCTTGCTAACACAATTAGTGTGAACGCGCAGGCACGCGCAACCAAAGCACCGTGGAAGCCAGCGAGCTCGCGCTGAAGGCGCAGCTTCTAGTCTCAGCTTAAAGGTGCCCTGAGGAGGTTTCCGAGATTGCCTGAATATGTCGATAACTGACTCTGCGGGCTCTAAGCATCCTAGACATCAATAAATCATAACAATGTGTGGCCGATTTCCCTATTTAAAAAAAAACCATGAGCCATTCAACCTTGTGAAGGTGAATTACCAGCGAAGCTGTTTAGCACGCGACACAGACGTGACACAGCATTTAGCGTATGCTCCATTAAAGTTTTCCAATTTAGCAGCATGATACCTGCGTCTTTTTGATGCGTTCTCCGCCCCGCGACGTTCGTCGTCTCGTCTGGTTTGCCGCGTACGCTTGACGTTTTAGACACGATCTCCATCGGTGGTGTTTGCCGCCAGCCGCCGCCGCTAACATTCTTGGTGCCGTTCCCGGCGTTGCTCTTCGCAGGCGCGTTGCTCTTCAGGAGTACTGGCTATACCAAGGAGGTTAGAAGTACTAGGAGGGGGCACGTTGCAATATCGGTGAAGCCTAGTCATAAAAAGTTTAAACGATTCTGTGCCCAGCGTGACCGCAGATCTCCCTGGCGATTGGTGCGCGTGACATGTCACGTGTGAAATGGATGGTTGATTGTAGAAGGACTCCTTGCAGGCTTGCGCGCGCTCCGTCCGGTAGGTTTTATCAGATCGAAGGCTAGACTGTGGTGTATTCTAGTAGCCTATAGTAAGACGAAGGCTAGCTACGGTCACGTGATGTGGTCACGTTGGCATGGTGAGTGAGGAGAGTAAGGAGGAAATTGAGAAAGAGGAGAGGCGTCAAGGGAGCATGGCTTGTGGAGGCTACGCGGCCGACGTCATGCCCTCTCCTACCCTTCTATTCTCCATGGGCTATACACTCCGTGCGACGCGACTGGCGCGCCGCCGCGCGGCCGGTACCGAAGGTAGGCAGTGAGCACCCCAGAGAAAACGAAACCGAAACCACGCCGCGTACGTTGGTACGCGTTGAAGTCGGAGTGGTGCTGTTGCGCTGGGTCCACAGCATGAAGTGCTGCCTGTGCTGCGTCATTAAGTGCTTCAATAGTTATGCGTCGTATCTCGGGGGGACAAAGTTTCACAGCTTTTCACCTCGCCGATGTTTTGTGGGACAGCGACAACGATGGAGTACCACGCGAGAAATTTGGTCTCCCGATCATGTCTGCCACTGTGTCGGCACGGCTGACATATTCTATACACTGCCGCTTTGCGCTCTGCGTTTGTTTTTGTACCATTAACGCCTACATGTGTCAGCGCCGATGGGACGAACTGAAATGCCATCCCACACCCGCGGGTAAGCAGTGCCAATTTCGTTGGAGGAATGCCCTCCAAAAAAGTTTCGTCCCCATCGTACGTGTCGATGATATTTCCGGACAAATATGGCACGCAATCTGTACTTTATGAAGAAAGATTTGAACGGTAAAGAAAGTGACAAATATAAATCTAAAGAAAACAACCATGAAACTCGGAATCACTGGAGAATCGGCGTTTGAGTATGGAAGTTTATGTGGTGTGCTTTCTTTCTTGGTCAGCCTCCTTTTGAATGTGGAAACACTGACACCCCGAGTTCTGTAGACAACATTTTTTTTTCTCGGCTTTAGAGCCACCTAACGCAAAGTGGTTCGAACTGGAAGTACCGTCCACTGGTCCCT